CTGATTTTTCTAGCCGGGTCACCCTTATTTGGTTAGCCGTGTCACGTGGCACGTGACTTAGCCGGATAACAATATATATGATCCAGCACCAGTAATATCGTGTTATAGTACATGAAGCATGATTAATAACTTTGAACGCGTTTACTTTACCTTAAACCCAAACATTGAATAATTTATAATCTATTTAAACTGAAACGAAATATAATATAACTAAACTTGACACGAAACCTAAAACCAATTTTATTTGATCTATGTAATCGATTAACGTAACTACAGTTAAAATATATTACATCTTGTCGTTATAATAAATTGCAAAATATTTTAAATACAAAATTCTTATTATATTATGGTTACTTTGGGGACCTTTTTTTTATTTCTCTTTCTTAACAACTCTTTCTATCCAATGACCGAGTTTCAAAATATCCCTTTTATCTCATAATACATTTCCCAAAATAAACAACATAAAACCGTTTTTACATATGAAAACCTTGATTTCTGTATTAAAGTTTCACAAAACCAGCAAAAACGATAATTGAGATCTTATACGACAAAAAATACACTCGCTATATACAGCATAATAATTCATATCATCAGTCTTTTCTCTAGTTGACCAAAGCCAAAGTTACGAAAATCAATGAACATATATAACTCAAAATTTCACAAATACAAAAACGTGGTGTATTGGAAAAAAACGATTAGTCAACTATGTTAAAATTTGACCAACCTTTACTGCGTATATGCGATTATAAAGGTTGGAACCGGTTTGGTGCACCCGAATTTAAACCCGGTTCAACCGATTCGAATGATGACATTTATTTGATTTAACCAATTAAATTACATAATTTTTAAAAAATTCAAATGTTCGTTTTAATACTGCGAGAAAACAAAAAAATACATACAAAGAAGCCTACAAACCGATATAAGGATTTAAAACGGGTAAATTTAATAATTATTACTGAATTTATTAAAGAATAAATCAAAATTTTACTGATAACAAAGCAAAACACACCTTAAATCTAACGTAACAAAATAGTTTAACCGAAGACATGACAAATACCTTCATTCTACAGTATAATTTTGCACAGTTCAATAGACGATGATATATTTCATTTTCTAAATAAAGTCCGTGAGGGGTGAAATTCTTTTGCACAGTGAATATTGTCGTTTTTTTTTTTTGTGCGATGTTTTATTATTAAAGCATCAGGTTTCAAAAAGTACTTTAAAGTGTATGCTGTAATTAAATTACCCAGGAAATTGATTATATTAACTAAAAATATAAATGAAATCCAATAATATTACTTATAAAATCAGACTAGTTGTCTAAATGATTATTTATTAAGATAAGTCATTTAGACACCCATGTATACTAAGTGGAGCATGCAAAGTGGCTCACATATACAGCCGGGGAGATGTTTTATCAATTCCGCAATTCAGGGAATAAATAGTACGTGCTTATTTAACACATTCAATTGGTGTAAAGGTAGTAAAATGGTAATGCTAAAAATTAATAGTGACGTACCCGTTTGAAGTTCATTTGGATGTATGAGTAACCATGCCGATGCCTTGTACCTATAAACCTAAACCTTTTATTATTGCCTATTAAAAACAGCATTTTTAAAATTTCCATTATTGTTTTGTGTAAGTTCACTTCTGCGGTTAAATTGGCATTGCATTGTTATGCGATGTAATACATAAAAAATTTATATGTTTTACAAAACGATTTGTCCAAATGTGTTTGTAATTTATTAACACGGTGATACGGAATTTATCTGTACAATTAAGTTGTAAAATACCCTTCCAAAAAGAATAAATAGTGAACTAATTTTAACATTTTCATGTAAAATTATCAGAATACTATATTCTTCGAAGACTGGGAGATAATTACCGTTATATCTGAATATAAAAACTATAAACATATGAACTCTGATACTAGAATTCCTACAATTCAGTTCGAAACATTGAATGCATACACTTCTTCAGTCGTTACTAACATAAATACTAGTCCAAAACACAATGAACAAAGGAATAGTAAACTGCTAATTTACAGTAAACAAATGCAGATAGATGAAGATGAAGATGAATTCTATACTCCTGTTAATATTTATCGTGAACATAAAACCCATTTAGAGCAAGATAAAAGAGTTCGTAAAGAATTGGACACTCAAATGCTTGATGATCTTTATGAACCTATTCAAAAAGCTTTTCTACGTAATTCAAAAATTTTAACATCGAAGGATGTTGATATTTCTTCTGCTAACAATGGAATTATCACAGCTGGAATGTGGAATTATAATTTTAATGTATTGGAAGAATATTTTTCAACAAATAGAATTAAACATTTAAATTTGTCTTAATATAATATTTTTAGAATATTACGTCAGAAATTTTGTTTTACTTAATATGTATTTATAAAAAGTTTAGTGTGCTGTAAATATTAACTTCAATCATAGATAGATTTCATAAATATATTGTCATTGCATTTTAGTCATATTATATTATTTGCATTATTGTTGTAATAGTATTATACGACCGAGGTTTTAAATAAAAAAATAAACCTTAAAGTGAGAAAAATGATTATAATCGTGACTGAACTTTTATGTGTTGAGATAACTGTCCAGCTTTGTGGTCATGCATGAACTCAATTATGTTTAGCCTAATTTATGTAGTATTACAAGTAAAAAAATAATTCTCTTTAGTAAATAATCTTTTGATGTGAATTTTCTAAATGTTTTCTAACAATATTAATTACATGTGGAAGAAGCGTGGAAAAGATTTAGACAATGCAGAAAATAGTTGGAAAAACTGCATAACACCAAAGTTTTTTAAAGAATGCTTGTAGAAAATTTTCATTTTTTTTTTTTTTTACCAATATATATAGCAGGGATCTCTCAAAAAAGCCCATGAAATCGACGAAAGAACTCATAAATTTATATAGTCACTATACTATTAAATGTTAAGAAACAATTACAAAGTCTACTTGCAAGTAAAGTCGATAGTAGTGATTTCATATAATTACAGATTTAGTAATTGTATATTCTCTCAAAGATGACTTCCAATAAGATTGTAATAAATGTTAATGCAAAACATGGTAACTAAGGAAACCAGACAGTAGCATCATTCCAATAAGTTAAGGTCCTTGCAATATCCTGTTGGAATACAGTAGTGATGTGAAATCTCCCAAATAATCATAATTCTACCGGTAGCTACCGGTAGGTGGTAGCTACCGGTAGATCTACTGTAGATTTTGATTGGTCAATCAAACCAAATCAACTTTATGTTTTAAAAATATTTGTATTGATTAT